ATAATCATCAGGTAGGTTAATTTAAAAGTTCATTTGAAGCATCTGAATCAGCCAGATTCCCCTCCAACGTCACCAATAGATTGCCTGGCAGTAGCCACTTTTGCCTCTAAGATGATACTCTGATAATCGTTCATTAAAGAAAGTGAAGGCCTGGCGAGGTGGCTCATACTTGTCATCCCAGCACTTTGGAAGGCTGAGGCAGAAGGATTGCCTGAATCCAGTATATAGAGACCAGCCTGGGCAACCGAGTGGGATCCTGTCTCTGCAGAAAATACAAAAATTAGCTGGGTATGGTGGTGTGTGCCTGTAGTCCCAGCTAGTTCGGAAGCTGAAGTGGGAGAATCCCTTGAGCCTGGGATATCGAGGCTGCAGTGAGCTGAAATTGCAGCACTGCACTCCAGCCTGGGAGACAAGAGTGTGATCCTGTCTCAAAAAATAACACAAAAAAGTAATGCATCACTGGGCATGGTGGCTCATGCCTGTAATCCCAGCACTTTGGGAGGCTGAGGCCAGGGAATCATGAGTTCAGCAGATTGAGACCATCCTGGCTAACACGGTAAAACCCAATCTCTACTAAAAATACAAAAATTAGCTGGGCATGGTGGCAGGCGCCTGTATTCCCAGTGATTCGGGAGGCTGAGGCAGGAGAATCACTTGAACCTGGCAGGCGGAGGTTGCAGTGAGCCAAGATCTCACCACTACACTCCAGCCTGGGCAACAGAGCGAGACTCTGTCTCAAAAAAAAGAAAAAAAAAAAAGTTATGTATCAGAACTTGATGTAACTTCAGCCCTTCACGGTAATAATAAAGCAGAGAAACACATTTGTGGAGAGAGGACCATGTTCACTCTTTATCTATCCATAATAGACAGATAGTCAGGAGCTTTATATAACCAAGGAACCTAAGGAAAACTATTCCGTCATGACTCACAATCTTCCAGCCACCCCTCCTTGCACCTGTCTTGTGGGCTGGGGGACCCAGCTTATGGATTCCATCTTCCCAGGGAGAAAGAAAAATCAAATCCTTCAGTATCTCTCTTAGGGTATCCTCTCCTCTATTTGCCTGGAGGATAAGGCTCTCGATATCTAGTAGTCGAATGTTACATTTGCATAATATAGAACTATATTGGAATAAAATAGAATTTGTTTCCTCTGAGACACAGGCAGAGGTACGTCCACACTGACCCGGGTGGCAGCCACCTCTTCCTGCAGTGCCAGGCAGGACATGCTCACAGATCTGGGAAACCTCTGCTGCTCCTGGAGCCCCACAACCTCCTTCCTGGCACCCTGTCCCTCTGGTGGTTGTGGCAGCCCACACATGGCCTTGGTCTCCCCTGTTTCCTTGCCTGCCCCTCTTCTGCCCACCCTGCATAACTCTGTCTCCCACTGTCCCCACTATGACCACGATTGCCTCTCTCTCCCTGCACTCTCTCTCTCCTACGGCTCCTTCCTTGTCTTGGGAAAATGAACCCACAGCCTCTACCTTGCGAATGGGGACAGAACCCCGGGCTTGTTCAATTCTCCCTCCCTCCATCACACACATTTGTCCTCCTTAATGTTTCTGAAGTCAGTGAACTCCAAACTCA